TCTGTCTGTCTGTCTGTGTGTGTCTGTCTGGCTGTCTGTGTGTCTGTCTGTGTGTGTGTGTATGTGTGTGTGTCTGTCTGTCTGTCTATGTGTGTGTGTGTGTCTGTCTGTCTCTGTGTCTGTCTCTGTGTGTGTCTGTCTGGCTGTCTGTGTGTCTGTCTTTGTGTGTCTGTGTGTCTGTCTGTCTGTCTGTGTGTCTCTCTGTGTGTGTGTGTATGTGTGTGTGTGTCTGTCTGTCTGACTGGTCCTGTATGTATAGCTGGCTACTGGCTGGGCTGAGGAAACCCAAACAGACAGCTTAAAGCTTAATGGGAGATCTGAAATGTCTGTCCATCCATCTATCCATCCATCCATCCATCCACCCATCCATCCACCGATGAAATCATCCGATTTGGACATATTAACATGACCGCAAATAATATTCTGAGCCGTTTGTGACATCTGTTGCGTGCTCCCTTTATTTAATGTGGGTTTTAATTCATGGTTCCCTACAGTGTAGGTGTGGAGTGCATAAAGTAGCGTACCTGACGTATGAGAAATCTCAGGATTACTGTATCCAATCTTACTTTCTCTCTCTCCCCCCACCCCGCACTCCCACACACAAACCACCTCCTACCCCCCCACCCCAGCCCGCCCTGCTGTTCTTTAAATCTTCCCTCCTTTTGAAGAAAAGCAAGGCAAAAAAAAGAAAGAAATCCAGATCAGGTACTGTGTATTGCAATTGAAATGTAAACTGCTCAGTAAATATAGGACACATGATAGGAAATGGCTGTACTGTGTGTGGGATTGGTTCCACCAGTGATTGAAGACTTCTTCACCCACCAGTGCTGATGTGTGTGTTTACTAAGTTGATGATCTTTCTCTAAAAGGATGTAAGAGTTGGGAGTTTTCGCTCATTAGTTATTACGTTCACCAGTTGAATCTGACTTGAGGTTCATCAGCTAACACATTAGATGGCAGACTTATTTGAAAAAAATGCAGTTTTGAACTAAATTTTTAGCGAAATAGTTCTAACAGTTGTGGAGTCCGATAGCTTAGTGGTTAGAGCACTCGACTCGCAAGCGAGAGGACCTGGATTTGATTCCCGGGCAGGGCAAAACATTGGGCACACACTTCCTTATTCCACAAGCCCCTGTTTACCCAGCAGTAAATAGGAACCCGGGTTAGTCGATTGGCTGATCGCTTTTCTGGGTGTAATAATCCCTTCAAAATAAATTTTAAAATAAGTAAATTGGTCACTCAATCCACGACTGTTTGTGGGACACTGTTGTGCGCAATTGGCTGCTGCGTTTGCCCCCTCGAAGACAGGATAAGGCACTATATCAAATACAAGGATTATTATTATTAATAATTATTGCTTTGTGCAAACTGGCTGCCATGTTTGGCTACACGGACACAGTCAATCCTGTACACTGTACAGAAACTTTGTGAAGCCCTTGGAGATGTCTCAATGTTACAGACAATATACCCAATGAAAGAATCATTAGTATTACTACTATATTAGTAAACTGCAGAAATGCTCCCTTCTCCCATGTACAGCAGCAATGTAACTAGATACTCGACTATGTTGTAACATATTTGTGGACTGCAAGTCAAGTCAAAATATTGCAATTACATTAGTTGAGAGAATATTGCAAAGAGATTTATTTGCTCTGGCGTTTGATACATTCTTCCTCAGCTGAGTCTGTAATATTCAACATTCAAAAGTTGACAAACAATTATTTTTTTAAGATCTTATGCGCCTGAAAACATATGTGTGTTTTGAAAGCTTCAAAGAGCATTTGATGTTCAAAGAATTGTTATTTATTGGTTTGCAGTCACCACTGTTAATAGCAATTAAGGATTAATTCATTATATGCAATTTATTGTCAGTGTTTGTTGCCTTTCTGCTTAATATTATTGCTACTTGTTTGTAAATAATAATTGTTTTTATCACACATTACTTTCATTGTTATTTGTCACTTTTTAAAGTGTAAATATTTAATGTCCAGATACTTGCCCTTGACTTTTGTTGTCCCTCCAAGTCAGATGTAAGTGTTCACAATGACCTTGAAATGGACAATGCAGTCAAAATTATTATAAACTTTCCACAAAAATACAGTGACTGTTAATGCAACAAATATGTTACAATGGTTTTCTAGCAAAGCCATACTTGCAGTCCTCCGTGCAAATTGGTCATACACTCGGTGGCTGTTTGTGGGATCTTGCTGCCTGCCATATTTTCCTATAGAAAAGACTGCATGTGATGGTAATTACCTTTGAAACTTTGAGATGCTTTACCATTACAGGGGCGCTGATAAATTCAAGGAATATTATTACCTTAAATGTTTCTTAAAGCAAAATGTTGTTCTGAAGTAACTCTGTTGTCACTTCATATTTGTGTGTCACAGGAACAGGAGTAGGCCGTTCAGCCCTTCGAACCTGTTCTGCCATTCAATTAGATCATGGCTGATCTGTACCTCAACTAATCCTGTCAATTTCCAATTTCCTGCTCTTTCCCTATATCCCTTGAAACCCTGACCTACCAATAATCTGTCAACCTCACTCTTGAAGGTGTGGATGGATCCAGCATCCACAGCCTTTTGGGGGAGAGAGTTCCAGATTTCTACCACCCTTTGAGTGAAAAAATGCTTTCTGATTTCACTCTTATGTGGCCTGGTTCTAATTTTAATACTATGCCCAGCCTGGACCAGTGGTAGCATTCTTGCCTCTTGAGTCAGAAGGTTGTGGGTTCAAGCCCCACTTCGGGACTTGGAATCACATTGCCGAAGATGACACTCCAACGCAGTGCTGGGGGTGTGTTGCATCGTCGGAGGTGCCATTCTTCGAATGAGAAAAGAGATCCCATCTGTCTGTTCAAGTAGATGTTAAAGATCCCATGGGACAGTTCTGTCCAAGAATTCCCCCAAATATAAACTTTACAGTATATTCTGTGAAGTGCTTTGAGACGTCTAGAAGGCGTGAAAAGCGCTATATCAAATGCATGGATTATTATTAAATAAAAATTAGTGCCCTTGGTTCCCAACACCAGCTTGGGTGCCAACCCAGGATTGTTAAGTGCCTTGGGATGTCTTCCCGATGTGAAAGGCGCTATATAAATGTAAATTGGTATTGTATTTTACCCTTGATGTCTCATTTATACAGCTGCTCTGCTGCTGGAGTCACGGGAAATAACGTTTGAAGAACAGTTAAG